TATGGTACATGACAATGTTTCTATAAAAAATGAACCTGCAAAGTCCTTTGTCTTGAGATTTAATAGAAGTAGAAACCGAAGAAGTAGATAGTGGCTGTAGATACATTTTGGAGCATTATGTTAGAGCTGTAGACTTACCCGTCTTAGCTTTACATCCTCATTTTCTGCCAACGCAACCATTTTGGGTGCCAATGTGATACGGTATGCAAGAAAAAGAGAAGATAAGAAAAGTTGCAGACAAAATGTCTTTTATCTACTATCCTTCATCTGTTTTTTAGCAACTTCCTATGTCAACTTTTCAAGGTGCACTTTTTTACATACTCGTTATTGCTGATGAAGAGGCTCAAACGCATTATTGAGTCTGTTCTACTATTCATTATTGATAGTGGTATTAATTGATTGTTAATTTTGTCCTACTATTCATTATTAATATAGTAGTAATGATGTCATTATACATTTATAAGTACTTCAAAAAAGAGTATCTGTCCCATTAAGTAAAAGCATATGATTCGCAAGTTCAACAATAAGTTCAGGCGGGGTGTCAATTTAAAAAGTACTTATTCTTTTATTGGTGATTATATACTTGCATAATATATTACACTGTCTGGTATCGAAAAAAAACTTGCTTACCCTAAGAGTGGCAAAAAATTTCAAATGATGGTCTTATCATTATGCACAAATCACGAGGGTTTGATAAACCTTTACCATATCATTCCAAGACGATCCATTTCTCATTCACATCAAAACCATGTGGCTGCAAATATGTCTCGCTCTTGTCTATTTAACAAAAGCAGATGACGAAAGTTCGACTGAGGAGAATCCAAACAGAAATGAATCAAGTGATCAATTTATTTACGGACCAAGCGGAAATGAAAAAGATTGCTATCAGGTGCTTTTGATACCCTGATTAAGTAAGTCCATAATTTTTTCGCATACTTTCAGCTCTTGTACTTACCTGAGGAGGGTTACGCGGAGAAAGCGGTTATGATTTATTACGACAAAGAATTCGAATATCTTGCTAAAGGAATCGACTGCCTCCTAAAAACTTTGAATATCCGAGAGAGTAGTATGACAGTGTTACGAAATGGTGTGTATGTTCACGAGATTTGCAACAATAGTGAGGTGAGATTTCTTGCTTTTCTTTCACCCGGCGAAGAGTAAATGGTGCAAGAGCATAAATAGGATTCAACATTGCCCCTGGGAGAGGCCTGCAGGCTTAG